GCTTGCCTATCATATTAAAAATATTAATATTTTGTTAAAAAATAAATATGTATTTATCATGCAAAAATAATTTGACGTGTATGTAAAATTTCAAAATATAGGTGTTACATATATAAATAAAAAAAAATTAGATTGTGTAAGTAAATCTCCAACTTTATTATTAATTTTTTTGCATAAACTTTTGTTTTAAGGAAAAATAAAATTATTTAAAAGAAAACACTTAAAGTTTAATTTGGATGTTTTTTTTAAAAATAAATTGATTTATTTTCAAATTTAATATATATATATATATATATATATATATGTAGAGAGTAGACTATATAAAAATATTTAATAGAAGCATCCAGGAGAAGCAACAAACAAAGAGAAAGCACATTAAATCACAAAGTGAGCATGGTTCCATTGGATACATTGAGTGGAGTTGTATGTATGCACTTTGTATTTTTCATTCTTTTAAGTGGATTTGTATACCTTGTGAGCTGGTTCGTACCCTCCACCCACTAAAACCTCTGTATCCTTCCTTATATTAATGAATTGGCCTTTAAGCTTCAAAACATGTATTATATATATATATATATATATATATATATGTAGAAAGTAGACTAAATAAAAATATTTAAAAAAAAAACTTAAAAAATATGCATAAAACTTAAGTATGATCCCATATAGGCTATTAATTTCATAGTCCTCATAATCCACTTATTTCTAAACCAATATTCTTTTTTTGGACAAATATTCTTTTTTTTCACAAAATTGCCTTTGATAAAACAAAAGAAAATTGAATTTATATATCATAATGCTAAAATTAGAAAAATATATTCCTTATTTCATTCTTTCATTGAAAGATGCCTTAATAATCCTCAAATTCTAAGAAATGCTAGAGTACTCGAGTGCATTTGGGATTGCTTATTTGCTACGACAAAGTGAGAAAACATCGTTACGGCTTTTTGGAATTTGTGATGCGAGGGCTTACTATCTTAAACGCGGGTCGCAGGTTCAACCACACGGTCGGCATTTTTTTTTAGCATATACCTTGGCTGCCCTCTCTCGCATGTCGCACAGTTTAAAACATCTCTTGCTTACCTTGCTCCCCTTTTGCATCTTTGACCTAGCTCCCTTCTCCCCTCTTGCTTCTCTCTGATCTTCAACTCTAGTGGCACAAAATTCCCTCGTTCTCCTCTCTCGCTTCTCTACGATCTCCAGCTTTCTATTGGTTCCTTTGCTCGCAGTCCTCTTACAGTATCCTTTATCTTATAAACTTGAGGTATGTTGTATGCTCCTTTCGATTTTAGGTTTGCCTTGTGTGGCTTGCTCTTTACGACTTGTGGCTTTGCTCTATATTGGAAGGATGTGATTTGAGGTTCATTGCCCGACGTGGTATTTACTTCTTTGTTGTTTCTGATTTTTTGCTCTTTTCGATTTCCGATTACCTATAAATTTGGGTCTTTGGCTTGCTTATTGCAGTTTTTGGCTTCTGGAAGCAATGGAATGTGGCCTACTTATTACGGTTTGTGGTATTTGGCTTGTATATTGCTTATTGTGGTTTATGGCTCCTAGAAGGAATGGAATATAATTTCCTATAAACGTATTGATTCAATAGCTTGCTCTTTGTTGTTTATGGCTCTTTGCTTTATTTAGTTTCTGGTTCAATGGGGTTAGACTTGAAATTTCCTTTTTGCTATGTTGTTTGGAGGTTGGGTTGCTCATTTTGTTTAATGGTTTGTTGGTCTTTGTGGGTTGCTCTATAGCATTTGATGCACCATTTTTTAGTGTGGGTTGCCCTTCTACATTTATCATTTTATGGTATATTGGTCTTTGGTCTTTGTGGGTTACCCTTTAGAAGGTTGGTCTTCGGGGGGGCGCCCTCTTTTCGGATGAAGTGATGGTCTGTCAGTTGTGGTATGTTGGTGGTATTGAACTTGTTTTTTTCCATGACATTTGGTGGTATGTGTGGTGTTGGTATTTGTGATGGGATTAGAAATAGTGGCGTGTTGAGGGTGTGTTGGTAATAGCTTGTTGAAGTGGTGGTGGTGGTGTGTTGGGTTGGTAATGGTGGTTGTGGTAGAGTTGTTGTGATATTGTGATGTGTGTAGATGGGAGTGGTGGTGGTGGTGGTGGTGGTATGTTGGTTTGGTTGTGGCAGTGTCTTTTGTTGTGGTGGTTGTGTGTGTGGTGTGTGTATATGCTAGTGGTTGTGGTGGTGTGTTGATAGTGTGGTGATGGTAGCTTGTTAATGTAGTTGTGGTGGTGTGTTGATGGTATGGTGGTGGTAGCTTGTTGGTGTGGTGGTGATGGTGAGTTGGGTTGGCTATGGTTGTTGTGCTTGTGATAGTGTTGTTGTGGTGGTGTTGTTGTGTGCATATGGAAGTGGTGGTGGTGATGTGGTGGTGGTGGTGGCTTGTTGATGTGATGGTGCAGCTGTGTTGGTGCAGCTTATTTGTTGTGGTGTGGTGGGATGCTAGATATCCTTTACGGAGAGTTTCTCAAACCATTTCCTGAAACCAAATACAGTATCTCTGATTTTGAAAGAGATAGCAACTTTGCTAGGGGTAAGAAATAAATTTTTAGCAAGAGACACTCATTATTATGCGGTGTCATTGAAAGAATATAAGGAGTTTGTAAAAAAAATGGGTAATACGCCAGGATATGCCGACATATTTATTTAGCAAACAAGTGCAGCCTGTGGTATTTATAATGACTCTCCACAACTCCATTCAGTGGTATTCTTCATGTAATGACATTGATTTCAATAGGGAAAATGAAGATCATTCATACGTCCTTGTTGAAGTATATGAATTTCACCTCAGACAATTCATATCACAGACTGAAAGTGATTTGTATGAGTCTTGTACAATGAATGATGAGGGTTCACGAGAGATGATATAGTTGAGAAAATGAATCATAGATATCATCTTTAATGGTCGATAGGATATTATATGTTTTTTTATTATTAATTTATTTGTAATGTGTTGTGAAAATGTTTATTGTTCATTGTATTGACGATTTATGCAATGAAGTACATTTTTGCTTATTGGAGTGGTGGTTGCTTATATTTCTAGTTTTTTTTTCCACATAAATGGCCTAAAATGAAACCGTGGGTATAATATCAAATGAAAGTTTTTATTTTATGTTTTATATTTTGGTTTAGAGGTTTACGATGAGATACTCAACCTTATGGGTTCTTTTAGATGGCCTATAAGTTGTTATTGGCTATTGACTCGTAGAAATCCTAATGAAGGAAGCCAAATACCTCTCCTTTTTTCAGTCATATGGCTTTTAGGGTTCTTCCAGATGGCATTTGTGGTGATATGCATAGGTGCACATAAGAGCTTGATATTATGTGTTTTAAAGGCAACCAAGATCCCTTTTTCTTTAAGGTCTACTATCTTCTTGTAGTGACAGATTCGTTGGATTATAATTTATTCTTCGAGACCTCATAGTTTTATAAGACTTTAATTGAGTATTTCTATTATTTTTCATTACTAACGTTGCAAGTAAGGGTATGTGCTTTATGGTTTTAAGCCTTAAAAAAAGACGAGCTCGAGGACTTTTGGTGCCTCTAAAGCATTGCATTGCTATTGTAGACTTCAAAGTTCTCTGCTTACTTCGTGACAGACACATAGCTATGGTAGACCATTTTACAGGTGTTTGAGGAATAGAACATAGAACTATGACTTCTTTAGGAGGTCATATATGTTCGAGGATTCCACCGCCGACAATGACTAGACATAGGGAATTTTGTTGGATAAGGGATTATCTTATGACATTAATCAGCTGCACTTTAAAAAGAATATTATTATAATATTAATTATTATTTTAATGATATTTTTTTTAATTTGGTTGTTGTATTACTCATTTTTTCATGACATTAATCAGCTGCACTTTAAAAATAATATTATTATAATATTAATTATTATTTTAATGATCTTTTTTTTAATTTGGTTGTTGTATTACTCATTTTTTGTGCGATCCAAATTTTTATTTTGTAACATTCAAACTGGATATTAGTTTTCAAGCACTAAATGTGCAAGTAGGACTGAATCTGTTATAAACAACACTATATTGTAAGGGCATAATGTCATTTGTTCATAAACAGTTGCAGCACAGCTGCTCCACAACTGCACAAAAAAATTGACACACAACTTCCCACAACATATTTTTCATAGCAGCTTATAAATAAGCTATGAAATAGTTGCAGCGCAACCGCAACACAACTGCACAAAAAAAACAGACACACATATTCCCCCATAGTAGCTTTTGCGTAGCAGCTTATAAATAAGTCATAGTTGTCTTAAATAGACTCTAAAAGAGAAGTTTAAGCAAGAAGTTGCTCTATACTTTTTATTCTAGATGTTTACCTTATCTCTGATGATTGTCATTTGCAAGTGATGGTTCTACAAGCAGGATTTACAATAAATACTCATTTCATATTTAAAATTTTTATTCAGCATTAGTGACGTAACACTTCAAATTGCCTAGATTTCAAGAGGTCATTTACACTCTAAAACTTAAATAAAAAAAATTATTAAATGTTGTTTTATCAGGTTCAAACTTAATCAAATATGGTTTGAATATTAAAATAATGTTTTAACTGTCGTAGCATTGTTGTTCAAGTTTTGATCAAGGTCAAAACAAGGTTTTAACAAAATTAAAACCTTGCTTACATAGTATTTGATACATTTTGTTATCTCTTTTGAAATTGACCCATTTGAATTATCTTATTTTATACACAAACTTGTAAGGGTATGGCGGAGAAATTGGTTACATATTTACGGGTAATGGTAATATTATATTGAATATTATAAATAATGTCCAATGAGAATGCTTTGAATTTTAATAATGCTTAAGTGCATGTTATAAGGATTCCAAAGTATGCATATTAATTCTAAATTTA